CATGGCTAGCATTGAAAACATTTTTGTTCATTTGAATTCTGAAGTTGTATTTTTCTTTGCCTATTCAAACAATTATTGACATGTCAAACTTTTTTTATTTCATTAATGCATTACACGTGTCTGTTTTGAATTAATTGTTTTCACTATGCTTAAATTGCTTCATATTTCCTTTTTGTGATGTTCAACTCTCGATTAAAAAATTCTGAGCCTTTAGAGGGAGGATGACGAAATTAATACCACAATCTCTACAGTATGCTTTTGAACAGACCCCGCTGACGATGTACAGGCGTTGTTTCAAATCCTAAACAGTGGAGTTATAAGGAAGATAATCCCTCGTCAACCCCTTTGAGCCAAAAGAAGTAGGAGTTTTTCTTTTTACAGAAATTAAAACCCTTAATCACAACCTGGGGCAGGGTAGTTTTCTCAGTTAATCCAGGTGCACAATGAATGACATCAAAGAAGTCTTTCCAAAAACAAAAGACGGTGATGGTTCCCTATAGTCGTCAAGACAGGCAGTCACTATCTCTCGAAATAAAAGCCCATTAAGTCAAAACCTATGAAAGAGACTTAAGAAAAACTAGGGCATCTCTCTCTCTCTCTCTCTCTCTCTCTCTCTCTCTCTCTCTCTCTCTCTCTCTCTCTCTCTCTCTCTCTCTCTCTCTCCTTTCATAGAATATTCCATATCTACCAACTCTTCCCCCTTCAAAACTCTCCTTGGCCTCAAGGAGGAATGCTGGAAATTCTTCTTTCATCTTGTCCATCAATTCCCATGAATTCTCAAATTCAGGAAGATTTATCCATTTCACCAAGACCTCTACTTTCCCTTGTAAATTTCTTTTAGAATCCATTACCTTCTCCAGAGTGGGTTCCAAATGCCACTCTTCATTCAGACAATCTGGCAGGGGTTGAGGCTCCACAGAAGGAGTCACAGCTTTCTTCAATAATGATGCATGGAAGACAGGATGCATCTTAGTATCATCGTGCAGTTTGAGTTAGGGGTGTACATGGTTCTCAAACCAACCCGAATTGAACCAAATATATGGTTTGGTTTAATTCTTCAAAACTGTTTTTGTAAAACCAGATTATTATTTTAAAATTGGTTTATATTTGGATTGATTCGGTTTAAAATCGGTTCCTATTAACAACCTGTTTTTTATTTGATTCAGTTAAGATTAGTTTTTCTTAAAACTAATTACATCAATTTTTTGTTTTCAGCAATTTTTTTGCTTAACCAGTTTGAAACTTTTATGTATATTGTGCTGGAAAACATTGGAAGGTTCAGTCAACATATTTTATTTTACTGTGTTATTTATTTTCTAATATTCGATATGTGAAGAGTTTTTTTAAAGTAAGTTTGGTGTTTGGTCTTGTATATATAATTGAAATTTGATTATAGTATTATGAAAGTTGAATTTCAAAATGGAGATTCATGTCTTAGATTGATGAAACTCAACTTTCATTATTGTGTTGTCATTCAAACACATTTGCAGGTAAAATATATTATAGTGTATTTTTAAAACTAAAAAAATAATATTTATTGTAATATATTTAATGTTGGGATCCAAGAAAAAATTAATTGTCATTCCAGTTATTTAATTTGTAATGGTTTGGTTTTGGCTATGTTGGAAATTTAGAGAGATACTTTTTAACATTTGAGTAAATTAGTAAATTGGATCATGAACAAGAACTGAATTTCAATAAAATGGGTATCCAATGTTATTGGTTTTTCTTTAAATGAAATGGGTTAGTTAATGACCAAATGGTTTGGATTTTTTATATTTAGAAACCAATTTTATGGTTATGGATTGGATGAACTGGTTAAAATGCACACCCCTAGTTTGAGTTTATAAGCCACGACTCCAATTCTTTGAATGACTTCATATGGTCCATAATATCTTGGACTCGGTTTTTGGTTTAGCCTTCTTGCTAGTTTTTTCATTTTGTATGGCTGGATTCTTAACAACACCATATCTCTTATCTCGCATTCCACCTCTCTTATGTGCTTGTTAGCTTGGCTCCTCATCAAATCTTGAGCCCTAAGTAACTGATCTTGTAGCTTGTTGATCATCAAATTTTGCTCAGCTGTCAATTTATTCACTTCATCTACAACTGATAAGGGATTGTCTCCTCTAATTAGAACAGGGGGAGCTCTCCCATATAAGGCCTCAAAAGGAGTAGTCTTCAATGAACCATGATAATTGGTGTTGTACCAATATTCTGCCCAAGCCAACCACTTAGGCCACTGCTTGGGTTTCAGCCATGTAACACACCTCAAATAGGTTTCCAAAACCTATTAACCACCTTTATCTGGCCATCAGATTAAGGATGATAAGCACTGTTGTACTTTAGTTTAGTTCCTGCCTGCTTAAACAATTTTGCCCAGAAATTGCTTAAAAACACCTTGTCCCTGTCAGACACTATAGAGTTAGGGAATCCATGTAATCTAACAACCTCATGAATGAAAATTTATGCAATGCTTTTGGTTGTGTAAGGATGACTGATATGGAAAAAATGAGCATACTTCGTGAGTCTATCCACTACCACCATTACTGTATCCACCCCTTGTACCTTAGGTAATCCCCCAATGAAATCCATGGGTATGTCACTCCATGTCTGTTTTGGAAAGGGTAGAGGTTGAAATAACCCTCCAGACGTCAAAGTTTGATACTTGTTCCTCTGACACACTTCACAGACATGTACATACTCCTAAATTTTCTTCCTCATACCCTCCCAATAAACAACACTAGCGATTCTCTTATAAGTTTTGAGAAACCTAGAATGTCATCTCACAGTTGTATCATGGAATTCATGTAGAATCCAAGCAATTCTTGGTGATCCTTTAGGCACTACTATCCTCCCCTCATGATACAATCTTCCCCCTTTTAATTGAAATCCCTTATGGCTATTAGGATATGTGACTAGAGCTTGTATTATCAGGGTCAGTTTTGCATCTTTCTGTATTTCTTCCTCTAATCCTTCCCACACTTCACAGTGAATGGTGCTTATGTGAGCATACTACAATTTTCTGGATAGAGAATCTGTAGCACTGTTATCCTTTCCTGATTTATACTTCACTTCAAAATCATACCCTAGTAGTTTGGACGGCCATTTTTGTTGTTCCTCTCCCATGATTCTCTGCTCAGTAATGAATTTTAGACTCTTTTGGTCAGTGTGAACCTTGAAATGTCTGCCTAACAGATATGGTCTCCACTTCTGAATAGCCATTACAACGGCCATTAACTCCCCTTTCATAGACTGGTTTCTGCTGAGCCTTATCAGATAAAGTTCGGCTTATGTAAGAAATAGGTATTTCCTCTTGCATCAACACAACTCGTATCCCCTTCCCTGAGGCATATGTTTCGAGCACAAACTCTTTTTCAAAGTTGGGCATAGCCAGAACTGGAATAGTGGTCATCGTTGCCTTCAATTCTTCAAATGATAATTGTGCTTCATGACTCCACAAAAAAATTATCCTTCTTAAGTAACTGAGTGAGAGGCCAAGCAATTTTCCCATAGTTTTGCACAAATTTTCTATAGTAGTCTGTTAAGCCCAGAAATCCCCTTAACCCTTTTAAATTTTTTGGAACAGGCCAGTTAAGCATATCTGCTATTTTCTTGGGGTCTGCTGATACCCCCTGTCCAGAAATCAAGTGTCCCAAATACTCCACTTCTCATTGGCAAAAGGTGTATTTCTTTCTATTAGCAAACAATTTCCTATCCTTTAGCACTTGGAAAATCACTGTCTAATGCTCTTTATGCTTCTGCTTACTCTTACTATAGATGAGAATGTCATCAAAAATACTAGGCAGAATTTTCTTAAAAGGGCTTTAACACTTCATTCATAAGTGCCTGGAAGGTTGGGGGAGTGTTTGTAAGTCCGAAGGGCATTACTAAGTATTCATAATGTCCTTCATGAGTTCTAAAGGCAGTCTTAGCTATATCTTCCCCATTCATCCTAATCTGATGATAACTTGATTTCAGATCCAACTTAGAAAAAATGACCGCCCCTCCTAACTTATCTAATAATTCCTCAATGACAGGTATAGGGAATTTATTAGGTATGGCCACCTTGTTTAAAGCCATGTAATCAGTGCAAAACCTCCATCCTCCATCTTTCTTTTTTACTAGCAAAACTGGACTTGAGAAAGGGTCTTGTATTATGCCTTATAATTCTTGCCTGTAACATCTCTCCTACAATCTTCTCTATTTCATTTTTTTTGGTAGAAAGGGTATCTATAAGGCCTTAAATTTAGAATTGCAGCATCAGGTTTCAAAAGGATTGCATGATCATGTTCTCTCCTAGGGGGAAGTCCTGCAGGTAGATTGAATACCTCCTCGAATGTATGTAATATCCCGTCCCATTCTGCTAACTCAGTGCAGTCACCTGTTGTAGCAGTCTTCATTGATTGCACATAAAATCCCAATCCTTCATCATTCAGAGCCTTTATCATGGCTTTCATAGAAGCTTGTTGATTGCATAAGGCAGAGCCACCTTGTATGTTGTGCTTTTGTCCTCCCCACTCCCATTTCAAACACACTTCCCCAAAGTTTGCTTCTATGTTCCCTAAGCTAGCCAACCAATCCATCCCAAGCACCATATCAGTGCCACTTAGTTCCATTAAAAAATAAATTTTGGTTAAATTTCACCCCTTGCATTTGAAATCTTAACCCTTCACAAATTCCCTGATATTTAACTTTTTCTCCATTTCCCACCTCAATCACATAAGGAGGAGTTTCTATCAGCTCAAACCCTATTTTTTCTACCAAATTAGCATCAATAAAATTACTTGTTGCTCCTGAATCTATCAATGTCATCAATTCTTTATCATTCACCTTCACCCACACCTTGAAGGACTTTTTAGACGTAAACCCCTCTCTACTTTGCATGGACAATTGCAATGTTTTAATTTCCTCGACTGCTTCCACCAGCTCCTCTGTTTGGATCCATATTCTGCTTGTTTCCTCTTCCTCCTCACTACTATTTTCACATAACTTCAAGCTCATATGCTTGAATTGTAAATGTGCTCTCTATTCCACTTGTCTCCACACTTGAAGCATAACCCCTTCTTGCTTCTTTCCTCCAATTCTGCAGGATTCAATCTCCTCCCCTTATACTTCTCATTTCCTTCACCACTAGCTCTTTCACCTTCCTTTTTATATCCTCCAAACTCTGCAGGATCCTTGATCCTCATCGTTCCACTTTTATTTCTCTATGACCCACCCTTCTTAGTTAACACTTCATTCTTCTCTTCAATCAATAACCTTGTGTCCATAAGATCAGCCAAACTTTAGCTTTCGTGAGGCTTCAACTCAGCGTGAATTTCTTCTTTCAGCCCATTCATGAAAATCGAACCCAACATGATTCTCTCTTCTCTTCTTAGTGGAGCTACTAGCATTTCAAACTTCTCCATATACTCCACCACTGACCTTTTTTATTTCAAACTGAGTAAAGGTCCCATCGGGTTATGTAGTAAACCTGGTTGAAACTTTCGCCTGACAGCCACCTTAAATTCCTCCCAGGTCTTCAACGGTGCTTGCTCCTCGCACCATTGATACCAATTCAAGGCTTTTTCCTCCATAGCTAACACCACTGCGTCCAGCTTGTACGTACCCTTAGCCCATTAAGATGGAAATATCTTTCGAAGCGGACAAGCCATCCATATGCGCCATAGCCTCTAAAAATCGGTATTTCTAACCGGCGTCTGCTTCCGAGGAAATGAGATCCATTTCCGCCACCGTGACGGCGGTGTCTAGGTCTAGATTCTTATGAAATATCACTTTGTTCACTTCCTTCTTCTTCGTAGTCGACTCTCCACCATGTAGTGTTCTGTTTCTCCCATGATTCTAAACGAGTCTCTCTTGCATCAACTGGCGAATTTGATCCACCATCATCTGCGGTCTCGCATGTTGTTCCAGTACCAGCTGTCGAATCTGCTCCATCGTCAATTCAAACTGATTCATCCTCTGCTCTATGTTGTCAACTCGGTTTTCCATGATGCTTCGAGTAAAAACCATTTGTTGTACCCCAAAATTTGCCCTCCCATATTTCTCAAAATATTCCAAGAAAAATTCACAGGTCCAACCCGGCGCGTCATATTCAGGTATTCTTTCGCCAAGATATCTCTGATAACATATTCTCAAATTCAGGTTCGGCTCAAGAGTCAATTCTTTAAAGAAGGTATCCGAATGTGTGAGTTTTCTCGAAGAAATATGGTGAAAAAGTGTGCTGAAAGTGCAGTTTTTACGCGCTAAAAAATTCATAACTTGAAGATCGTGGCTCGTTTTGAACCCGTTCCGGTGGCCAAAATTCCGTCTTGACATTATCTACGTTTTCATCTCTCACGGCTGGAAGCCAATTTCGATCAGAAGGTCTTCAAAAATGTGGATTTATCAAGTATTTTCGTGCAGAAATTTGTGACAGAAGTTTATTTGCGTCATGTTCAAAAAATCATAACTTGGTCGATTTTCATCGTATCGAGCTGGTTCCGGTGCCAAAATTTCACAAATTGTGTTGACTACATTTTCACAGAAGGTATTGAGTTCAAACGGTATTCAAAAGGCCTTCGTTTTTTGCTCAGAGTGTGTGACACGCTGAAAATCCTGAATGCTGAATATTATTTCATCTGAGCCGAAACTTCGAAAATTCATAACTCGGTCAATTTTTATCGGATTGGACTCATATTTTTACACAAGGTCATTGACTCGTAGATCTACAACTTTGCTTCAAAAGTCGAGACCGGATTATGCACCGATCAATACCAGTTTTTTATTGAAGAACGTGTCAGAGTCGACACTGGAGCCCAAAATAAGTTTGTCTGAGCTGAAACTTCAAAAATTCATAACTAATTCACCGTTTATCCGATTGAGTCGATTTTCGGACAGGAGTTAGTTCTCGATGTCGGCTACATTTTGTTTTCACATTTCAACTTCAAAAAATGCACTTAAGTCCCTGCGATTTAGCCTGGAAAGTGACGAATTCAAGTGAATATTGGAGGCCCAATTGCACATTCAAAGCCCATTTTCTTTACCCTAATTTCCACTATATAATCACCTTCTTGTCACACAAACCAAGGAGGAGAAAAAAAGAGGGGAGGAGAAAAAGAGAGAAAAAATCTTGCCACAACACTGTTGGAATATCAAACTCTTTCAAGAACCCTAAAACCTTGAAATCCTTATTACAAATCCCTCTCTCACTACAAACAAGTCATCTCAGTTACAAACCAACATCTTATTACTTCTTCAGTAAGGGTAAGGCTGGCTTGATCTCCATGATCCAAAGGGCATAAAAGCATTCATGTCACTACTTTTCCAGTAAGGGTAAGGTTGATTTGATCTCCATGATCAAAAGGGTATAATCATTCATACATGCCATATTGTGCCTAAACGTTAAATTTCTTCATATGTTGGTTTTATTTGAATTTTTATGATTTTATTTAATGTGTTCATGAGGTTCAACACTGCAGATTTAGACAGGATCCCATGCAGGTTCATTAAGGAACGTTGAGGCCAAAAGCCAAATGGCCAAAACAGAACATTTTATGCATGACACCAATACATGGCGAGGTAGACATTAAGCCAGACATTAAGGGAACGTTGAAGCCAGAACACAAATGGCCAAAAGCCAAAAGCCAAAAGCCAAAAGCCAAATGGCCAAAGTAGAACAACTTATGCATGAAACTCAATCCAATGGCCAAAGAATGCAGACCACGGTACTCAGGAGTCAATACTTCAAAAAACCTCCCCTTGGGCCAGACACCCCCTATGGTTTGCTCAATTTTTAATTTTTATTTGTTTTTCCTTTTTATTCTTTTAATTGTTTTTTAATTGTTTTCTTTTAATTCCATAAAATAATTTTCATAATAAATATAAAATACAGAAAAATCAAAAAAATGTTTATTTTATTAATATTAATTTTACTATTATTATTTTTGTAAATAAACTTTAAACAATTAATTAGATTAATTTAGGTTTCAAAACTTTAATATTTTTTTTTATAAATTAAATATGTAGAAATTAGGGTTTTTAACTTTTTCATCATTTTTTTAATAAATAATTTTCTCATCATTATTATTATTATTAACTACTAATTTATTTTGTAAATAAACATGTACATAAATTCTTTAGTAAATTAAGTTAAACTTTAACATTTTTCTCAAATAATTAAAAATAACTTAGAATTAGGGTTTCTTTTAATTTTAATTTTAATTTTCTTATTTCATAAATACAAAAAAAACCTAAAAAACACTTCTTTTATTTCAATAAATAATTAATTAATTTTTAATTTCATTTAATTTCTTTAAAGGGTCCAACGCCCTCGAACGTTCTATTTTTATTTCTTTCGCACATTTATTTTCTTTCAAATATTATGTAATTGCTCAAGCCATGTAACTCGGACATTTTATATTTCCCGCATTTTATTTCTTTATTTTCTGCCAAATCGGGTCCTGGTTTAATTTTGGCGATGTGGACCCGCGCCTTTTGTAATAGCTTAGAATCTTTTACTTTCTCGCAGTATTTTAACTGTTAAACAAAGCATGCAAGAATGAATGGCCTTAAATAAAATCAAGCGTAGAACACCAATAACGTGATAAGACAAATACAAATGAAAACGACACACGAATCGCACACACCACCCCTAGGGTACGCCTCACTGTTGCCTTGCCCCGAAAGGTGATCGTCGAGTAGAGGACGTTTTAGTAAGTCCTCATGATCCATGAACCTGGCATGAGGGTAGCTTCTAAGGTGTCTTCCCATTACTCCGGTGATCACACTGTTGCCTTGTCCCTCGAAACGTGGCCGTCGACTATAGGACGTCTTAGTGAGTCCTTGTGTCCATTGATCTAGTTGTCCAAAACAAAGTTGCCTCAAATAAAGTTGCCTCGAAACGGTTGCCTCGGAATAAAAGATCAATGGCATAAGGGTAGCTTCTAAGGTGTCTTACCTTTGCTCGGTGACCACAATGTCCCTAAACTCGAATTGACCCGAACACCTCCAACGGTGGTGCTACCTACCTCTCAATGGTGGGATGGCACTACTTTAAAGGACATTTACACAGACGAATTCCTTAGGGTAGGTAGGTTCTCGTAGATACTTGCTCCAAATTTCAAAACAAATTCAAAAAATACTTTTCACATCGACACCTTTTCAAAAAGCTTTCGAAAGCAATTTTTCAAACACTCTTGAGGACCGATACAAGAGTCGAATTGGAATTTTCAAAGAAACTTTTTAAAACCCATAGTTGAAAAGCAAACAAACCATTTTTGAAAACACAATGAGCAAGTATCTAAGAGCCCATGGATAACCATGGATAGAAAGGGTGCTAACACCTTCCCTTTCTATAATCTACCTCCCGAACCGAGAGCAATCTCTTTAAGGAATTTTTCTGTGCTTTTGTCCTTTCCATTTGGAGAAAATAAAAGACGGTGGCGACTCTTGCTTCCGCGACATTTCGCGAACCAACGTTAAACAGTCAGTTCTAGATCCACCGATCACAGAACTGGCGACTCTGCTGGGGATATCTTTATAAAGTGAGGTGTACCTTAGGACTAAGATCACTGTGTTTTCAATTGCTTTCTTTGCTTGCTTTAAATTGTGGGACTGTCTTGGGAGTTCTATAGATCCTAACCCGGATCTGGGGATACCTTCTTAGAAAGTAGCAACAAGGCTGTGAGGGAACTGTGCGGGGTATACCGACATGGTTGAAACAGTCTGCTACGTTGATGTGGCACTTTGGTGTGTACCGGTAACCCTTGAGTTCAGTCAAGGAGAGTACGGGGCCTCCGCGTGGTGTCGTGAAGCATCAACAGACCTTAGGAACCTTAATTGAACTATCTTGGCCTCTTTAGGGTAGTGAGATAACTGACTTTGGTGCAGTCCGAGGTTGGTTGATACTCGATACTACACTCAATTGAGGGTTGCTTTCCTGGAATATTTCGGTCGCCAGTTCAGTGGCTAAATTGAAACGATGAACAATGAAAGCAATCCCGTGATATTGGGGTCCTTAGAACCCGGTTACTTCTAATAGGACAGGTTGAACCCACCAACTTCAAGAGGGTACTACCCAGACCCCATGCTGGCCTTAAACCCTAAAGGCTTCTCTTGTGTGACTTGTGTGCCTTCGTACTTGACTATTTGCATGCTTGTTATCTAACACAGGAATTACTTGCAGGGTTTGCTTATAGTCCTTGAATGGGGACTCATGGCAAGGTTTGCTAAGTTTTTGCAGGTTTTGTCCATAGTCCTTAATTAGGACTCATAGCAGGTTTACTGAGTTTGCTTGCAGGTGTTGTTTATAGTCCTTCACTAGGACTCATAACAGGGTCTACTGAATTTCCTACAGGTTTTTTGTTTTAGTCCTTAACCAGGACTCATAACAAGGTGTACCAAGTTTCTTGCAGGGTCTGTTTTAGTCCTTAATTGGGACTCCTGACAGGTTCACTAAGTGTCTTGCAAGTTTTGGTTTGCAGTCCTTAATAGGGACTCATAACAGGGTTACTTATATTACCCCATGCATAGCATACCATTGCATACATCCTAACCCACTTCAAGGATCTCAAGGGCTTGTGATGCAGGTCATGGT